TAGGATAGTGCATGTCAATGGCCATAGTTATCCTGCCACTAAAAACAGTCTTACCCACTCCACAAAACCGAAGCAAATCTATTATTACGTCAGACTGTCGATGTGAATGTCTGTGTTGATAGAATAAGTTTAAAAGTAAAACCAACCTTGTATTTGAAGGATTTATGTCTGAGCAGCAGCAGTGAGTTGTACTTCCTGATAGAAAGCTTGGCAGCAGCGGGCTGATATATGAGAAAATAGTTCCTCAACATGTGACGATTCATGCGATACAAGGTTAGTTTTATTCCAAACATTATTCAATCAACACAGACATTTACACTGACAGTCTGACGTAATAACAGATTTGCTTCAGGTGTTTTGAGGAGTGGGTAAGACAGTTTTTAGTGGCAGGCTAAGTATGGCCATTGACACGCACTAGCCTAACACCAGCGACCTCTGCAAATACAAGGACTGGATGGAATATATAAAAAAGTGTCTCCACATGTCTCCAACACTCTGGCTCACTAGGAAATGAGGCCCTATGTCCAAAATTCCAGACTCTCCCTTTAAAGATTCTTAGTCCTATATTACACAAAACTATGTTATAATGTTACTTCATCAAAAACAGACCTGGAGTTGTGTTTTGTTTCATTCACACATGTCTGAGCAATTCTTTATTATTAATGTGTCTACATTTCCAAAGCTCAAAATGCTCTGTTCCTCCTCGTGATGTCATGAAGCTGTAGTTTTCAAGTTAACAGTGACTTTAATTCAGTAGAGTTTCGGGTGAAATCATCCAAATGTTTCAAATGAAAGTGTATGGAGTATGAAAACACAGTGGAGCATTTCCTTTATTTCTACATGACATCACAAGATGGAAAAGAGTGTTTTCAGTTTGAGTTTGAGAAGAACTTATCCTAAATATGCAGGATTTGTGTGTTAAACACGTGTGAATGAAACAAAACATAACTCCAGATATATTTGTGATGAGGAAACTATTATAACATAGATCAGAAAATAGCGTAATATTGGTTGATGGAAATGTTGTTAGGGAATGGAAGCAAATTTGGAATGAAAATCTACTTTTTTTGTTTTCCTTTCAGATTTTTGCCTGATGACCACAGTGGTGTTGGGTAAACGTTTGGATGGACTCTTGCAGTGTGATAGTGACTTTAGCAGCTGAAGTGAGCTCAGCAGTGACATTCCTCTCACAGCAGATAAACAGTAAAGACAAACAGAGTCTCGTAACCCTTTGCAGTCTATAAAACACAGTCTCTCTCCTTGATATGGGACATGATTGGTGAGGCAGGAGCATGGGAATGGCCTATGGAAAACACATGAATCTCCATAACGTCAGATTATCAGAATGGAAGGGAGGTGATGATTAGTCTGGAGCATCTTGTGAGTTTTACTAATGATCCCAAAATATTAGGTTTCAAATACCATCTCATAGACATAAGGTTGAAAACAGACTGAGGTCTATTACTGAGGCCAGGACTAAACCATGATAAATCTATAAAATGATGGATTATGGAATTACAATCAGTGAACACCACAACTGGTGATAGGTCTTCCAACCAAAACATTGACTTTTCCTGAGCAGTTTTACAATGGTTTGGAGCTTTATCAGAACTAGTATTAGACCACATGACGTTAAGTATTCTGTGTTGAAAATGTCCAAAAAAAAAAACCAAAACAAAAACAGCATTTTTATTGTTATTGTGGTTTCAAAATCAATACTGAGTTGAGTAATAGCCTTCTGGACATGGCACATCACCTGATTGATCCCATGGGAAGTTAAAACCACACCTCAGAACATTCTCCATGGATATAGATGCCAAAGTAACAACATTTCCATGGAAACAAGAAGAAGGAGGCCATCCTCTAGGCGAAATAAGAGTCAGGTTTGTGGAGAAGCAAGCCTGCTCACAGTAAGAGCACATGTTTTTCAGTACAATAAACACAACCAAAATGAAAAAAAGCTTTTATTTTTGTCTATTTTTTGGCTTTAATATAATTAAGATGGAATTGTTTGTACTGTTTTTAAATTGTTCCACTGCAGTGATCTAAAGTCTCCACGTGTCCAGTGTGTTAAGACCAGTCCAGTCCAGAGCAGAGAGAGTCAAATGAAATGAGGCTCATTACAGAGACAACTCCACACTCCATAAACCAAAGTCAGAGTAAAGTCAAACTAAAGTCAAAGTGAAGTGAGTCTGCAGCAGCTGCTTCACCTTCTGTTACCTCCACCATGAGCTCATCAGGGCGAGCCCCGGGGTACGCATCATTCTTCACCACAAACAGGGACTTTTCTCATATATCACAACATCCTCGTCAGTGGTGTTTAACTGAGAGGGGCAGGGATAGGGACAGTGACTGAAGGATGAAATGCAGACTTTGTGACTTTGGTGGACATGTTTACAATAATCAACCATTGCTGTGTAAAGATCACGAGGAATAGTGTGGATTAACATTAGATACATTTTTATTACAACATTAAGTTCATGGAAAGCAACTGATATTTGGGAGTAAACTGGACTTAACCCTGCAGCACTAAATGGTGAATGGTCATATTTTTAGATAGCGCTTTCCCACTTTGAAGGCACTCAAAGCACTTTACATCAAGGAACTACTCACCCATCCACACACATTCATACACCAGTGTACACAAACACTTGGGTTAACTGTCTTGCTCAAGGATATTTAACGGTTTTCATATGTGGAATCTGGAAGTGCACAGTCCACCTGCAGTGGCCAACGATCTGACCAAAGCTCTTTTTTTTTAAAACATATTTTAGTTTTCAGCATTTTAACACAACACACAAAACAAAGAGCAGTCTGAGCACATGTTTGAGTTTTCCTCATTACATAAATATTACCCCTTTAAGCAAGACACACTGACCTAGTCAAACAGGCAAACCAACAGCGCGCCACGAAATTGAGCCTGAACCTCTCTGTATAGTGACACTAAGATCACCGGGCAAGTCGTCAAGCAGAGGCTGTCACAACTTCATAAAGAAATCATCATTGCCTTTCAATTTTGCATTGACTCTTTCCATGTGGCTTCTCGTGTATCCAGTTTAAAAGCATACTTCAGTTCCAGAAACAGTAATTTAGCCACCAGTTTTAATTTACCTTTGTCTGGCACTTTGTTTAAAGGTGGCAGCCCCAACAGAAACCAACCTGGATCCTTCACTAGTTTAAATTTCACTATGCTGCTTATTTCTTTAGTTATACATAACCAGAATTTGGAGATTTTTGTGCAAGTCCACAGACACTGTAAATAAGTCCCATTTGTTGCCTTACATTTAAGACACAAGGGTGATCCAGTAGGGTCTATCTGCTCAGCAAAAATGGTGTTCTGACCAACGATCTTTATTTCGAGAGTCGGATTCGGATCAGTGAACTAAACTAGCACTAGAATAGGACCAAACTAAGTCCCTACTGAGAGACAAAACCAGGATCAAACTGATGTGAAATGTTGCTTTTTTTTAACATACCTGAATTGAATCTTGATGTAGTGGTTGGATGATAAAACTATCAATTAAACAGTAATTACATCTGCACATTCCATCATGTCTGCAGAGTGTGAGCCTCCAAATGAAAACAAATGGAGCCACATTCATTTCCTTAAGTGCAGAAGCAGTGAGGGCCCCTTTTCACAAATCACACACTTCTCTTAAACTCTGCAACCCCAGGAACATATTGTACTGACAATTGAGCCCATTTTAATGTGTTTACAATATGAGAGACCAAGAAAAGGAAAGAATGCAGTCTGTAATATAAGTAATGTGATCAAATAAATGTGCATGTGTTTTATTATTATTCCATTATCTCCTTTATCTATTTTAAACCAATTAATGCAGTGTCTGGCTGGTTAATATTGTCAGCTTATATAAAGAAGTTCCCAGGTTCAATATCTGTTCTATTCTTAACCCCCATGTAGGACAGACCATGCTATTCCTTTAATTTTTATCTAATAGGCTATGTATAATAGGCTAAGATTTTACATAAGTCACTTAAGTGATTTGTAAATATTGCAACTATTTAAAGGCCCAATTAAACAAAACTGACTGTTGTAAGCTTTAAGTTATGTTATAAGGTTGTTAATCCGTGTATAATTTGTTCATTTGTTTTTCAATTAAAACCAAAAATAAAAAAATGAAAAAGCAATTATTTGTCTCCAAAACCAAAATGAAAAAATGGGTAACAATTTGTTTTAAAATTTTTCGATTTTGTATTTAAATCAATAATGGAAAAAATGGATAACGGTCGTTTCCTGTTTTCGTGACTTAAACTGCGAAGCCGGACTTTTGCGCTGCATACGGACTGAACCAGGACTAAACCAGGACTGAACCAGGACTGAACAGCTCTAAACCAGCTCTAAACCAGAATTGAACCAGGACTAAACCAGGTCTCAGTCCCGGTCTTAGTCCCGGTCTGGTCCTGGTCTGAGTCCCGGTCTCAGTCCTGGTCTGGTCCCAGCCTGGTCCTGGTTTCCTGATCACCTGACAGTCTACGCAGGTGCACGTCCGGGCCAGTCCCGACACTCCTGGTTCAGTCCTGGTTCAGTCCTGGTTTAGTCCTGGTTTATTCCTGGTTTAGGACTGAGACCGGGACCGGACCAGGACTGAACTAGGACTGAGGAGTGAAACCGGTTTAGACCTGGTTTAGTCCTGGTTCAGTCCAGCAGCATAGTTTAAGTCACGGAAACGGGAAACGACCGTTATCCATTTTTTCTATTATTCATTTAAATACAAAATCGAAAAATGAAAAAACTAATCCTCCAAATGATTCTAGTGAAGGTGTATTGAGTTTAAAAACATTACAACGTGGAACAGAATGTTTTCCGTTTGAGAATATGCAGGGTTTGTGTCTTAAACATGTGTGAATGAAACAAAATGACTCCCGGTATGTTTTTGATCAGGGAACAATATAGATGGAACAAATGGTATAGTATGGACCCGTTAAAACATGTATTGATTGTTGGAAAAAGTAGATGAAACACACAGAAAGTACAGGTTTAAATAGTGTTTATTGACAATAACTGCATAACTGCATAATAGTAATAAAATATGATGTGTGAGGAACATGGTATAAAAAATAAAGTGACTCTATGCATTGTCCAGTATATTTGAGTGAGATTCAGTCAAACGTAGCCAATAATGTCCTTGCATACGATGGGCTGCCGATTCCCAGACTTCATCAAACCAGCAAAGTGGTAGAAACCAGTGTCCAGTTCATTAATGCCTGACAGAGACTGATGGAAAAAAGGTGTTTTACTTTGGATCGGCACAACTGGACACGACATGCGTTTGTTGGCATTGGCCGCTCTGTTGGCTTTTGCTCCTTCATCATGTGGCCTTATTTTCACCCTATCCTCCACGCTTTTTGAAAACCCCGCCAACTTCCTCTTCATGTTGACGAAAAACCCTTTGCCAGTCCTTCTCGGAGCCTGCTTGGCCTCTGCAGATTCTGGGCACTCCGGCAATTCCATCCAGTTTTCAATCAAGTCCGCGAAACTGTTATCCCCCAAGACTAGCGGCTGCCTGTTGCGCCCCCGCGTGAGTAAAGAGTTCGTCCAGTCTTCGGTGAGACCAAACCAACTTTCCAAGCAATCGGAAGCTGATTTTGGCCTTATCCGACCACTAGGTGCTCTGTTGGTGCGCAGGCAAGCGGAAGAAGACACACGTACGTTTCTGGTTCGTCTAAGCACGACGGTGTCCTCTTGCCAAGACGATTCCGAATAACCGGAATCCAAGTCCAAACTGCGATCGCTACTGGGCGTGCTCAGATCCAAGCTTAACCTGAGCCTGCTTGCGTCTTCAACCTCGTCTTCTTCTTCCAGCGCACTAGCCAAGCAGCACGCGGAGTCGTACGTGCTGGAGCTGGCGTCGGACATACGGAACTGGGCGCGCTGTTCTCGCTGTATGGCTCTTTGTTGACACGCTCGGGCCAGTGCGGAGTGGCGAGCCAGAGCTGGTAACTGGAGGTTGGTGATTTGGGAGAGAGGGCGCCGCGGGGTGTCAATGCAGGTTCTCCGCAGGTTTTTGAGGTCCTGGAGGGAGCGCATCATGTACTGCATCTGCTCTCTCAGGCACTCGCTGGAGTCGCGGAGGCAATGCTGAGGAGAAAAGAGAGAAAAGATGGGTCAGTATAAAGGATCAATATTAACCACATGATAGACAAACATGGATAACAGATGGTAACACAAAATAGGTTGTGAATAGCTTATGCCAAAATCCTGTCTCCTGCCACCTACACTAACTGACTCTGGATCTTCCTGCCTAAACATACTAGTATTAGGAACCATGTTTTAAAAAGCCCTGACTCATCTCATCAAAACCAGCTTTCATTTTGTTTTTTCTGTTTGTCATGTAAAGACGTGTTACATAAAAGTATTATGTAATACTATTATTATTACTCCTTAAAAGATAATAATATATGAATAAATGTATTAAAAATCTATGTAAAATGTCCAATAAGCAATTAAATGAATAAAAAAACAAATAAAAATCAATGTTCTATTTGTAACCGTAACTGTAAAAATACTATCCAGCACTTTGTAATTTCTGATCATTAACTCTGACTACAGCCTTGAGTGTACTTTGTCATAGTCGTTATTATTTATTTATATTGTTGTAAGCAATAACAATAATAAATGGATTAACTTATTATTATAAGATTATGTGTATTGTACTGGCCAAGCTGCTTTCCATTACCACTGTACTTTCTATCAAAACAATCATCATCATTAATCAAGTAATTTAGAGAGTAATATATTTTAGTTGCAATGACTTTATTTGTGAATTCTGTACTTTTTCAAGACTCTAAATGACGTCCAGGTGATTTTATCTTATTTTGTTTTGATTGTGGATACCAGGATATTTGATATTCTTAACAGATAATTATTTTGGACTAATTTGGGCAAGCTACTTTGAGATTATAAAGCAAAGTGGTCAAAATGTTATACGTAAACACATCAAGACACTATGTAGTAAAGTGGAAAGTACCAAATATTGCAAAACAAGCCAACTAATTACTACAAACATGAATGAGTACATGAGTGAATAAGTATCACAAGTTTTTTGGCGGGCAGGTCGGGGCTTGCAGTATCGTGACCCAATCAAAACTCTGCGGCTACCAGATGATTTTACAATAGAAACAAAACAAACTGTACGTGAACGCCCTGTATTTAGAACAACAGTGTGGATCAACTACGGACATTACCGCCTAAAATTCTAACGGTGTTCAAAAGAATAGGTACACAAGTGGCTTAAATGGTACACTGGCCCTTTAACAAGAAGTATGAAATTCAGCAGTGACAGAGTAAAGGGCTGTAATACTTCTGTTTCCTTTCAAAACGTGCGGCACTGATTGGCTGGGATTAACCGGTGAGCTTTTGGTTCAAACATACACAAGACCACAGAGAGATCATGTGACTGTCTGAGCGAGAGGGGAGCTGTCATGGGGGAAGAAAAACGCCTTTACTACTACTAAAATTATGAGTTAAAACAGAATATCTTGCTTTTTACATATTTGCTGGACATAAAGTCATAATCAGTGGGTGGAAGAAGTACTAAATTTTGTTAAATAAAAGTACACATAACAAAGCCATAAAGTATTTTTCACTAAATTGTTTAAGTATCACATGAAAAAATCGACTACAATCGGTACAGATACCTGCTCTCAAATGTAATGAAGTAAAGTAAAAAGTAGCCCACAGATACCTATAATGTATACTTAAGTACAGTACTTGAATACTTCTAGTCTGTTAATCTATTCCATCACTGGCCATAATCAAAACAAACAGCCATATATCTTTTTATGTCAATATACTGCCAATAAATGCTATAAAAATGCTTAAGAAGTCAGTGAAAAACATTGTAACAGAGGCTGGTACAGTAACAATTTCTTCTACTTTACTGGGTGGGTTTATTTTACACTGAGAACGATGCTGGATCCAGATTTAACCTAGCCACTTACATTATAGTTAGCCTATGTAAAGCCAGTAATTTAAATTCTCCAAAATTTGCCACTAATACCAGGTTGGTGCACAATTTCCACTAAAGCACTTCATAGAGCTGCAATTTCTCACAGTAACATGTGAGCCAAGTGAAGCTACGAAGCAATAAAGTGCAAAACCGCTAGCACAAAAAGGTTACGCAGTGTTTCTTTATTGTACGCTACTCATGCATTGCCATTGCTTCCTATTGTTTTCCCATTTTTTTCCAGCTGTCACTCAAACGACCAGATACTATGCGTTTTCTCCATAAAGGTGTGTGTAATTTAATGCAACTATTTAGGGCTACATAGTGAATAAAGCTGTTGTGCACTTACCATATTGTCAAAATCTTTCCCCTTCATTTGTGCAGCAAGGTTCCAACCCTGTAATACAAAAATACGGGATTTTAGTTTTACTGTAAGCAAGAATTTCCAACAACACATTTTTAAAACATTTCAGTAGAAGTTCAATAATGCCTACGCTGTTAAAAAGAAAGTCTACCTGTTAGAAATAATCTCATAGCAAAGAAAATGCAAGATACTCACGTGTTACTTCACTGCTTTGGAAGAGAAATTTCGCTTTTTCCCATGAACGTTTAGCGCTCCGGAGAGACGTCAGTGCGCACGTTAGTCCTGACTGTCGTGTACGATGCAGATGTGGTGAATGCTCTGCGCTCTGCTCCCTCTCGCCTCCTTTTACACCTCCGCGCTTGTTGCGACATGTGGCGACAGCAGCCAATCAGAGCGCACGGACTACAGGCCCGTGCGTAAAAGCTCCCCAAGGATTTTATGACAAAACAGCAAAACAAAAAAGACAAGACAAGAAAAGAAAAGTGTGTGAGCCGGAAAGGAGGGTAAGTGATTAGTTAAATGAAGATGAATGCACCGGGAGATTAGATAGACCAAGATGAAGACACTTTCTACTTGATAACCCACAATGATTAAAGGTGATCCCAGACTTGATAAATGAGGCTGCTCTTTGAGGTCACTGCACTCGTTCATTAATTTAAGATCAGTAATACTATCGTGGTCAAGTTACCTGCTGTCTGGACTATTTGTTTGCAGTGATGTTTCTCAGAGTTATTACGTTTTATGACACTTTTCGTGATACCTAACAATAGTTGAAAATAAAGGTAGTCAAAACTTATAGCCTTCAAACGCAAAACTGTGTCCAGATGAACAGATGTGGGATATTTTGAGTTGTTATTAAACAACGTGTTTGGTATACACCAGACATGTCAAACTCAGGCCCGGGGGCTAAATTTGGCCCGCAATATAATTATAATTGGCCCGTGAGATCATATCAGATATGTATTAGAGCTGCCTGTCGCCTTCAGATGGACCATAGAGACATTATTTATTTAAAATGTTGTTATTATTTTATATTATGCTTGTTCTGGATTCATTGTTTAAGCAAAACTATTATTAAAGATTTATTTTAATAAGAAAAGGTTTAACATTACATATCTCAAAAGAAGAGAAAACATGCAGATGTTGTCGACATTTTTCAATAAATATGTAGTTTGGCCCACAACTTAGTCCCATTTTTTTTTTTTTTTTTTTTTTTTTTTTTTGGCCCTATGTGAATTTGAGTTTGACATCCCTTGTATACACCCTAACAGTTATCCAAGTGCATTACTGTAGCAATAACATTGTTCTGATATGCTAAAAACACTTAACAGTCAAAGTCAAATAGCAAAAGAAAAATTCAGTTCTGTGACATGGTCAAAAGTTTCATTTGATAGAATAGATTTTTTCTCTTCCTGTGGATGATATCTGGACCACTGAGCAATTACACAGGCCACCAAAGTTCATATGTCTTATGAACATATCACAACCTGCTGTCCAGTTACCATTAATCCCATGTCAAATGCAAAAAAAGTCACTAAAATTGCATATGCTATAGACAAATGACATGCTGCCTGGGTACATATTTGTTTAAGTGTGCACTGTGTCCTACTGCACAGATTTCAAGCAGTAATGATAATATACTTTTTGAGATAGTCTACAATGGAATAGATCAGAACCAAAACACAAACTCATCACAACCTATTACATAGGCAGCACGGTGGCTGAGTGGCTAACACCAGCCAGAAGGTTCTGGCTTCAATCCGGATGGGTCTCTTCTGGGCAGTCTAGTTTCCCTCATCAACCCAAAACATGCTGCTTAGGTCTCCAGGAAAAAGAGCTGATTGCTAAAGTCAGTTAAAAATACAATCAGTCAGCCTGCCCAGGGACTACAGGTGGAAATAAATAAAATAAAATAAACTAACTAACAAAGAATGCCCAGCCCGATCTGAGCAGTTACAGTGCAACATTTTGAATTGTTATTAAGAGTCCAGTTGACAGATGCTGAGATTGAAATCTGTTCCAAGTATAGCCTACATCACAGAAAAAAACAAGCAGAAAGAAAAGAAAAAAGAAATGATTGCTATAATGCCAAACAGTTACCCATCAATTCTTATGTAACTGTCCTAACATGTCAGAAGTTCCAATTACTCCACAGTTCAAATCATATACAAAAAGGCCATGTGTTATTGGGAAAAAGGCGAGTGTGTGGTCCCTAAACAATACAATATTCTTGTCTTAATCTATACAAGGAGTTTTATACAATTATCAATCACCTATATGAAGCTGTGTTTATCTAAATTTTTCTTTTCCGTCTGTCCAGCAGTTGAAACTATTTAGTTAAAATAAATATAATTGTGACCTATAGTGTGCTGGGGTGACTTTTCATTAGAATACAAGTACATTTGAGCATGATATAGCATCAATCATTAAATAAATCAATGAATTCCCATTAAATGTAATTTGATCTTTTATAATATATATTTCACTAAAAACTGAAGAAAGAAGTATAAAACAAAATCCACAGAATATTCAGCAGCGCCAGGCCTGCCCTAACCTCGCATCACTTAGTTTAGCTCTTATAAATGTAAATGACCAAACCATCACGTTAATCCTATCAGTCGTTTGCAGGTGATTTGATCCGGGCTCATACTCCTGGTGCCGCCGTCGGAGCCTGAACGTTAGTGTAAACAAACAGTGTCAGAGCGGTGTGGTGCAGGTTAATGGGTGTCGTTACTGTATTCAGCCCTGTATTCAGGCCTGTAAGAGTGACTGAATGAGGAGTATGTAAATGCATGAGCTGTTAGTGGCTCTATACCTGATGGTCAGTGGTTCATGTGCAGAGTGCTACATTAACATAGAGAAGTGGTTGTCAACATGTTTAAACCTGTAACAAGACTAAAATAATCTATTAGCTATCCTTTTTATACTTGGTGCTCCATGGAACTTATCTGGTAGTTGGTTTGGTACCTACTTGTCTCCATACAGATGTTCTTGCTTTACTTGGAATGTTCCACAATATGGCATTTAAACACATCCAAAGGTGGTTTTATCCCTCTAAAATCTAATCTGTAACCTCAGAAATGTTAGTGTCATTCTTCACTTGATATTGCCCATTGTACATATCTTTTTTTTTCAATCACAGATAGAAAATACTCCAAATGTAAAATGATCAAAATAGTAGCTAGACCTATATGTTAGTATATAGTGCTTTGGGGGAAAACACTTTACATTGCTTTGCTCATTCACTCTTTATACATGATGGTATGAGGTACTCAGCTGCCCTGGGACTGACGGTTGCTGAAAACTGGCTGCCAGTCTGCACCACTGGCCCATCCAGCCACCAGGGTTACTCATTTACCACATTCAAGACAAACAAGTGTCTAGTTAGTTTTCTACGGAAGGATTTTACTGTATATATCATATGGGTGTATATTGTTTATTGTTTAGTTGTAAAAGAGTTACATGCTGAAAATACTGTGATCAAATGCTTTTTAAATATAGCCCACTTATTTTGCCCAGTAGGTTATTAAATATCATACTAGTATTTAATTTAACTATTCTATTCTCAAGCAGTTGGAGAACTACCATTACTTGTTATCATTATAACTTTGTTTATGGAGACTATGTTTGAAGAAAAAGAAAAGAAAGTTATACACCAGGGTGACCTATTAGGATTTTGTGAGTTTGGGGCGCCACCTGGTGGTTCTTTTACCTGAAAGCAAAAGAAAAGAGTTCTGTTCACCTAAAAGTATGTGGGCATTTTTAGAACATAATGTGTTACTCCACTAGAGCTATAAAAGTTGTTTCTTAAAATCAATAAACCGCACAATCCACGATTAGCCCATTGTCATCCATACAAAGCGCGGAGGTTGAAGTAGAAGAACAATAGTCCTAACAGCCACTAGAGGGCGCCAAAGACTCGTGGAAAAAAGTTTTTCCAAGCCTACGGAAAGGGCATGTTCAACCTCTGGTAACAATTTATTACTACGGTTTTTTAATAGTAATGTAATACTAGAAGTATAAAAAGGTGTAATATTTTCATAAGCAATACTGCTGTCTGCTTTATGATTATTATGCAAAGTTTGTTATTTTTAACACAATCAGAAATTAAATGCAAAACATATGTAAATTAAGAAAACAACAACAGGCAAAGTTGAGCATTTTAATACATGATCAGAATTCAATGTACAAAGTATGTATGCAACACAATGAGAGTAAAGTCATACAACTGCAGGTGATCTCTAGTTTTATTTAAATTAAACCATAAATGGACTTTAAGCATTTAATATTTACCAAAAACACTAACCTTTTTTTCTGAATTAGATATCGTCTCATTAATAATCACTATACTGAATTGACAGGTGCTAAGCAGAAAAATGGAGGAATAAAATGTGTAGAGGAGAACAGTAGGTCAGACAGTACTACAGGGAATATAAGCCTACATTAGGAGTCATTGTAAACTGAAGTCAAGGCACAACATACTGCAACAGAAATGAAAAAATTATGAACTAAATTATACACACTTGAAATAGAATTGATAATTTGCAGTGACATCACGCTGGGGATGCACTGCATCTATGTTTATGGCTGAATGTTCTGCAGTTACAAATGCAATGCACACATTAGCAAACACTGCCAAATACTTTTTAGATTGTCTGAGAACAAGAAACACTACAAAACTGATTTAGACAAACATTTGTGTGAGCCTGTGGTCAATACAAGCATTCATGGTCCATTTACAAGTGTGAGTGACTAACTGAAAAACTGTTGGCTAATGTTAGCTAACTGGTGACTAATGTCATTTGAGAAAGACTTAACAGCACAAATCAGCTCTCCTGTTCTATTTTCAGATAAGTCAATTCAGTCAATCAGTTAACTTGCTTAAGACAGAGCAGTGCCTCTAGTTAGCTTCAAACCCCCAGGGAATGTTGATGACATCAGCTGCAAAATATCAATTGACATTTTTCATCAATTCTGACAGGTTTTCTGAAATATTTTATTGGAATGTTGGATAATTTTGTGCAGAAAATGGCTGTTCCAATTTCCATTATGCACAATACAATATGGTCAACTATGATTTTTTGTAAACATTATATAAAAACACATGAATATTTCATTGAAATGTTACAATGTCCCATATCTGCACATCGTCGTTCTCTTTTTAAAAATAACATGATTAAAAGTAGAATAATTTGCACATCAAGGTAAAGGTAAAATGAATGTACGGTATATATAAAATCCTTCCTCTCACTCAAGAAATAAAGAATAAAATAATAAAATATGGTCTTAAATGTGTGTGGTGCAGGATTGGTCTCAGTCTGTTTAGAAAAAGTGGAGATCGGAGCTGGAGCCAGTGCACGGTTTCCCCATCAATATCAACTGTTCAAGTAATCTGAAAACAACAGGGAGAAATGCAAATTAACATTTTGAAGAGTTATTAAACTAATATTTATAGAGTTACATTTGGTTTGATAACAATAATAATAACTATACTTCTGCATAAAACCTAGATCAACCAAAAATAAGTATATATGTATATTTTTTTCTTTGATGAAAATAAAAAGTAGAACAAAGAGTTTTATTGTGTACTAAAATAGATTGTAAGTTAAGAGTAAATAGTTTATTTAGGCCAGTTAATGATGTGGCACATTCATACAAAAAAAACTAAACAACTCCAGGTATGTTTATGATGAGGTAACAACATTATAACATAGCTTAAAGCTCACAAGAGTCATTTTGTGTAATATAGGACCTTTAAAAAGTATGAGGCCAGGCAAACATGTCTAGTTGAGAAATGGATTTGATGAAAACACTTTATGACTGCAGTAGCATCTACATGTGCCACCCTCCCCCTCACCTGTGCTTGTGTGGAGCGTTAGAAGAGTCCGCAGTCCTTCAGGTTGTTCTTGATGATGACGTCGGTGACAGCGTCGAACACAAACTGCACGTTCTTGGTGTCTGTGGCGCAGGTGAAGTGAGGGTAGATCTCCTTTGTGTCCTTCCTCCGGTTCAGATCCATGAACTTGGCCTGGATGTAGGCCTGGGCATCCTCATAGGTGTTGGGGCCTGGGCAGGAGGGCACAGAGGGATAGGGTTAAAGCCACAACGTGTAACCTTTGAGCCAGAAAATAACCTCAAATAAAAACATGTTGTATTTATTTAGGATGTTTTTATAGCACAAAAAAACAAAACAAAACTGAAAACCGTATCTTACATCTCCACAAACCTTACTCTATCTCGACTGAACCCAGTTACAGGTCAGATCCGAGCAGAGGTGACCCTTCTCTCAGTAACAGAGCGTATCTTTCAAGGTTTTTGAGCAATAAACATCCATATTTCAGCATTAAACTATTACAAATTACTTTAATGTCATACCGTGGAACATTACTGGAAAAGCTATAACGTCTCCAAGGCACACCCTCCACCAGAAATGTTACAGTGCACCTTAACATAGAATTAACTTTACGTTTTATCTTCATTACTCACTTAAGACCCTGTATATGATTTCCCATTAAGAGTTTATTCATCTTAAAAACACATTAGACACATTACCAGTGTACTCAGGGAAGCAGATGGTCAGAGGGCTGTGCTGGATTTTCTTCTCAAACAGGTCCTTCTTGTTGAGGAACAGGATGATGGACGTCTCGGTGAACCACTTGTTGTTACAGATGGAGTCAAACAGCTTCATGCTCTCGTGCATACGGTTCTGAAGGAAACACAACAAATCAGTATCATAAGTACCGTATTTTCCGCACTATAGGGTTATTTGGAATGGTCTATTTTCGAACTTTTTTCACGAATAAATCGCACTGGACTTTATATGAAACGCAACAGTTTGGTCAGATTGGTCAGTCGGATTTTGTTTGGCGGTGACTCTGGGCTTTGTTCAGTTGTGGCGTGTAGAAAGGGAGCTGTCTGGGACCGCTGGATTGTCGGCGTACTCGCAGTGACTCAGTTTTCAGTTGTGGCTAGAAGTGGCACATTGCAGTCGCTTTTTCAGTTCGTTCCTCCGTTCCATTCCTCGTCGGCGTGGAGTGATGACTGTGGCTGCTGGTGCGGTCACTGTCTGCTCCGGTCGCTCTGGATTGTGGGGCGTGCAGTCGTTTTTTTATGGGGTTATGAGTGCGCCCTATAGTGTGGAAAATACGGTACGCAAAAACATAATGTATTCACGTGAAGGCAGACCAGTGATGTGCAGTTTAGATACAGTGGCACAAATGATAAGGGTTATAGCTTTGGGTTATGCACATAAATGAACAACTCATGTTTTTACAGAGAAAGTCATGTGTCTCTTAAGATGGTTTGGACAGATACGGAGGAGAGTGAATAATAGTGTGGAAAAGATTTTAGATGCAACAAAGACAGACATGAAATCGGAATTCATTTACTTGATGGGAGATATAGCTGCTGTTCAGTTCTATATCTGAACAGAAGACAATGGTATCCTTTATTCGTATAGTAACACCAAATGGATTTTCTGTGTGTATTTCCTATATTTTCCGGTTATAGGTTTGATAAAACTTGATAAATCTAAATTTTTGTTGCACCAAAAGAATATAAAACATCATTATTATTTAGTGTGAATCACCAGACAGGCTTTGAAATTTGGGGACAAAGCAATGTTTTGATATTGGGTTTATAAAAAGGTAGATTTTATAAACTTACAGTAAAAAAAAACATTTGGGACTACTCAATAGGAAGCCTGATAGTTAAATGAAGTTTATGTCTTATTTGACACCAGTTTCTTGCCAGTTTTGCTACTGATTTTGAATTTATTCTTACAATGTATATTTTTGCTCTTTGTTATTATATTATATTGTGATGTGAGGACTACAGTGTCCATATAATGCCCCTTGTGGATCAATAAAGTTTGTGTAACTCTAAGCCTAAGTAAGTCTAAAGTGAAGTTGGTTTGATGGCCAGTTTGGACATCCTGTATAAGCCACTAATTCGTGGTACATATTAAAAGTAGCCAAATGGCGCATGACACAATGTACTACGTAACTGCAGAACTCTCTACAAGTGAAAAAGCATTGATGAGGCACATGTAGCCCATAGATCCTCACCATCTCCTCATCCTCTGCCAGCACCAGGTCATACGCGCTCATGGCCACACAGAATATTATGGCGGTGACTCCTTCAAAACAGTGGATCCACTTCTTCCTCTCTGAACGCTGACCGCCAACATCAAACATCCTGAAAAACAGGTCATAAGAAGTCTCAGAAATTCATACAAATGTCAGCAATAAGAGTGGAACACATCTCAGAGAAGAAAATCTATATACGGGTTTATAGTAAATAGATGTATTATTATTCATACTTCACTTAGAGAACACTTAAAACATATAATAATATAAACATACTTTTCACGTTACAGTTAAATGAAAGTGATAACAAAAACGTAGCATAATAAAAAAGGAAGTGTTTTAAAAAGCAGAAGTTAGCCAATAAATTTTACTCAATGTCGAAATCAACCATCATTTTCAACTTGTTTATTTTCTGGCATCTGGTTGTTTCCATGGAAATGTTATTGCTGTGCCAGAAATGTCCCACAGTAATTAAACGGATATATCTCCACGGAGACAAGCAGGTGATGCCATCAGGCTAGTTTACAGGTCAGATGTGCGGTGAGGTGACTTCACTCACAGTCAGAATGCATGTCAAAATCACATGTATTTAACATTGGGATAAGCAGAGGACAGTCTAGACTAGAAAGGTTCCACAGTGCACTTTTAATCGTTAATAAATTATATATATAAAAAAAACATTTTCTTTTCTTAAAAGGCTCTATATTTCACACAATTTACTGTGAGGTTTAAGCCATGTAATAATGTTGTTACCTCATCAAAAATAGACCAAATATTCAAATGTATTTGAATAATTGATATCAATTTGTCTACATTTTTAATGCTCCAAATGCTCTGTTCCACCTTGTGATTTCATGAAGCAGTAGCTTTCAATTAACCTTTTACCTTTAGTTCAGTAGAGTATTAAAATTCCAGGGTTGAAACTATCAAAATGATTCTAGTGAAGGTGTATGGAGTTTAAAAACACTGGAGCACTTCCTGTATTACTACATGACATCACAAAGAGGAACAGAATGTCTTTTGTTTGAGAAAAGAACTCAGCCTAAATATGCAGGGTTTGTGTGTTAAACATGTGTGAATGAAACAAAACACAACTCTATGGAATGTTTGTGATGAAGAAAAAACATTATACATAGATGAGAAAATAACATAACGTAATATTGGTCCTTTAAGCTCCAGTTCAAAAAGAAATTGCAAACTTTCTCCTATGACGTGGTTGGCCTTTTCAGATGGAGAAGGCTGAGTAAGCAGAAGTTATTACAACAGTGCCATACTTGTGTTTAGCCGTCCCCTTGGTGCTGCGCTCACAAGATAAAATATATTTGAATGTTCAAGAGGCCGCTACAGCCAAATGTAAGCTCAGGGATTTCAATGATATCCGGTAGAAGTACTGAAGACGTGACTATTACACGCAAGACAAACTGCAGACGCATAGTTTTAATTCTTATGTCCAAATAAAAAGACGTGAGGGAGGGTTAAGGCTTTGAAAATGTGTAAATATTTTGAAGTCCTAGTCAGATTAAATACCTCTGTGTAATGTAGTGTAGATAAGGATTGACCACAGATATGAATCCTTTATAAATCAAACGTTGTGAGACCAAATATTTGTAATGCCGCAAAACCCCCTAATTAAGCAGATCGTCATGGTTACTCAAGCTTAAAATTACAGAGAAGGGCTGTCCAAGCAGTCACGTCATGCCACAGTTTATATGAAATCAGCTTATCTTGATGTACAGTTACCCATCATTAAAGATTTAAAACCTGCATAGAAAAGCCCACAAATTGTCATTAGGTTCACAGATTAAAGTGATAGTATATAATTTTGTGGAAATAGAAAGTTAAACCCATACTTCGAAACATTGTCCATGGAGATAGATCGGTTTCAAGCCATACTATGGAATATTATATTAAGGACACATGTTTTATGTTTTTCATTGCAATAAACGTGAACAAAAATGAAAAATTTGTATTAATTTTGGTCTATTTTTCGCAAAAAAGTTACATACTGATACATGATATAATGAGTTGTATTTTATGATGATTGTGTAAACATACTGAAACCTCATGCAGACAGGCAGCTGATTCTACAACTAAATATTGGTGCAAAGTATTAAAAAGAATGTCTCAAAGAGTGTTTTAGAGTGATATACTATCCATCCCTAATCATACACTGACTTCATTACATACTGCTGTGCCACATTTACAGACAAAGACTACACTTAACCCACTTTACCTCCAATCACAACAAATGAGGCTGACATACGCAAGGTAATTTCATAACGGTTACCTAGTAACCATAATGTCCTCAAGGGTCAAAACTTGTATAAACTGACAGTACTGCTGAGTAGCCTAATGAAAATAAATTACAGCACTTACACTACTTTACTACATCAATGTTTAGACTGTCAGAAAAATATGTTCCTTGCACGTAAATGGAACATGCACAAATTTAATTGTCACTTTACTGATAACAACTATAATGCTGATTTAGTTGTAATTACAGAAACATTGGATATGTTAGCTAATGATGTTTGTGTTATAATTTAGTGTTTTGGTTTCAAGATGATTATCCAATCAGAATGAGTCTCATTTGGGTTTCCAGTTTCAATGCTGAAAGCCAGTTGGTTTAAACCTAAAACGCCTCTCTGATCTGAATGGCCACTACTTAAACCCCAGCATCTGTAGACAATCATGACTCAGTGCTAGTGCAGCCTCTGCAGCTCAGTGAGGGAATTCTGGAGGTTCTGAGCTTTCACATGAGGCCTGGTCTGTCAATATACTAAATGAAATTATATGTGACTTCTATATACAGATTAAGGAACTGGAATCCTGAGTTTAGTTGTGATTTTAGAACTTTAGAACTTAGTAAAAACTGTACTGTTCGTTCAGACAGCGATGCCAGGGGTGTCAGGCTTACATGCAAAGTCTATAGGGACGTGTGTCTAGGTTAAACTTTTTGGCTGTGCGTTTCGAGCTCTTGAGCATCAAAGTAAAGGCAGAGTTTAAAAATGTGAAGTTCTGGCAAAAATCGCTGCGCGTCGGGTTTCAAGCGTCTGCCTGAAATGCAAATGAGTCCAACTAGAGGCATTTGGTGCAATTTTGACACTGCAGGTCTAAACTCAGTGTTAAAATTGTGCTTGAAGTGCAGGCTGCATACAGTCCCTAAAGTAAAGTAAAGTACACTGCAGTAAAGCAGCAGTAGCAGTAGAGTCTTACTTGAAGTGCAGGTCTTTGAAGGTGAAGTGAGTCTCTACGATGCCTGTGGTCTTCACTCTGGTCCTGAGCACGTCCTGCTGTGTGGGGATGTAGTCCGGTCTGGATATCCTCTCCAGGTCATTCAGGTAACTGCACAACACAAACCGAAAATTAGGAAATATTCATCACATCATAACTGTTTTTATTTGTGCTTTTTTATTTATTCATTACATTTTAGCTTCTGGCTTTAGTTAGTTTAGTTATTATTTTTATTTAGTTATTGTAACACATTAAACCAAAAAATCTCTGAAGAAAGATCTAACATCTCATTTATTGATACAGAGCAATCGATCTGGAACGGTAAGCAAAGTTTATCAAAGTTTATCACGGCAACCAATTAGACCAATAAGCAGGAGCCTTACACCATAGATTATGTGGTGATTATAATTTACAATCCAGGTAGGTAAAACACCACCATCCTGCAACATTCAATCTGCCATATGTTTGTGTATTGCTGTAGGATGTGGCCATTTGTTATGGAGAACAAAGAATAATCCAATAACATTAGATTATAGTAATAAAGACCGCACGCCGGTAATGGGTAATTGTTTGGTTATCAGTTAATCAAATATCTGTAAGTGAAAACAGCAGACACACTCTTCCTGAAAGCTTTGTTATAAAAGACACACAGGTTTTAGTTTGGGTTATTTTTACACCGCACATTAACCTGAACTGTTAAATATTTCACCATTTGGAAAGAAGTTACAAGTCGCATCTTGAAGAAAAAAAATAATTCCAAGATTGATTTTCTCAGTTACTCAATCTTTTTATTTTGGTAAATTAGCCAAGTATTGCAAGTAAACGTGCACTACATAACTTTTTGGAGGGGGTCACCTAGCCTGATTCATCAGACAGTTTCACTTCGTAGAAACCGTCTGACCTCGCAGCGTTAGGATTCGTTCGCTTGACGGTAGGCAGGTTTTTTTTTTTTTTCATTTAACCAACCGCTGCTATTTGGTCATGACGTATGTAATGCACTGCTAACAGGGCTGGTATATTAAGCTTTTCCCAGATCCCATAGGAAGAAGGACAATAACGTCTTTCCCCTTGACAAAATTCACCAAACATTCTCTATGTTACAGCTGTAAATCCTCGATCTCGGGAATCATTGCCAACACAGAATATATGGTTCTTCGATTGGCTGGTGCCCAGACTCGCGCTTCTGTGTTTTTTGCGAACCTTCTAGTATATTCCCATTCCTGACCTAGTTACTGGAGAGAAATTAAACTGAGCGGAGGCACTAAGTGGCCCCAGCCTGGCAATCTGTCACCTCTTGGATCTATGACTGTCATTGCTCTGCCTGCAATGTTCCCCAGTATGACTTTAAACAGCTCTACCCAACATTTATTCCATTACAGGTGCTTTTATAGCTCTAAAATACCTAGAAAAAAAGGGTGGAGTTGCTGCTCCACAGATGTGACCTGTAACTTGGTCTTTTTTGGTCTCCATGAAGATAGAAAGGTTTAATGCCATACTATAAAACATTCCAGACAAAGAAATAACATCTCCATGGAGAAAAGCAACTGATGGACCCTCCACCAGAGAAATTACACAATGCACCTTTAAAGATACTTTACGGTCTGCTACCTGCATATATTGTTTGCCTGGGAAGTTTCAGAGTACGGCATTAAACTTATTTATCTCCTTGGAGACGAGCAGCTGATGCCACCAGGACACTTGAGGCAATATAAGCAGTGAGTAATTGTAAGATAGATCACTTTAATAACATGCAGTGGAACATCCATGGAGACAAGTGGGAACGGTTGCCAGATTTCCACAGAGCAACAAGCAACCAAGCCTTAGAGTCTATGATCGGGAAAAGAAACATAAAAAAAGGCCTAAAATCACCTCTTTTATGATGTGAACCTGCCACTGAGGAGCAAGTACAGTCATTTGCAAAAAAAAAAGAAGTCACTATAAAGTAGCAGACTTGGCAACTCTGCAATTCGGGTAGCTGCACTTCCACTAGAAAAAAAACGTAGTGGTGCAGGAAGCTATGATTGAACACACATAAGCATTCTCAGAAATCCAACCAAAATGTTAAGAGAGCACTTTCCTGAGAAGAAAGTGTTGTTCTAAAAGCTTGTGGTAGACAGGATATCCTCCATGTTCCTCCGCACAGGTCGGTGTCAGGTTAAAGTCTTGTATTAAACAAAAATGACTGCAGCACTTTCACAATGAGGGCTGTTTTTCTCTGGGTCCTGTTACACTTTATCCCTCTGGCTCTCAACACACAAGCTCACCCACACAGATTTTAACACCAGGTTAGACAGGTGAACAATTATGGAGATAATCTTTGCTTTCTTTGCGATTAACTTGTGATTTATGTTTAAAAAAAAATAAAAATCAAGATACAGGTCAAAGTGCACTTTTTAAACAAGTGTGGGAGCATCATTTCAGAGAAAAGACTGAAATGTGAACTAACTAAACAAAAGTAATACAGGAGGTGCAAAGTACAGGATTAGAATTTAAGACATTGGAAAATATATTTCTTTTAAACCTCTCTTCAAATTTCAGCTTGACTTGACATGACTTCAACAAAATGATAGCCAGAAAGTGTGTGTTACATATTGAGATGAGCTATGTAACTGTATATTCTCATAAACGTCACTCTCTGATCGTGTTAAAATACATAGGCCTGTAAAATAAATATTAAGCGAACGTCAGTTGGACACAGTGTCTAAAAGCTTTGGGGTATTTAGCCAATGTTCAGAATGACAGTTGGAACATACACAGGTTTGGCTGGGGCTGGAACCAAAAACTGGTAATGATTTTTTTTCTTTTGATAACAAGTTTTGATGCCTGATGAGTGTTCGGAGAGAAAAGTTACTAGGAGGCAGCGGCACCACAAATGAATAAACAGTATTCAGTATAATTTGTGCACATTTATTTGTTAGTCCAGATCAGGGGTGTCAAACATACGGCCCGGGGGCCGGATCTGGCCCTCCAAGACCTTTAATCTGGCCCTCGGTTGATTTTCTGCTAAAATATTTTAATTATATTTTCTATTAAAATATTGGTAATTTTCTGCGGTGCTTAGCATAGCAGCGTCTCCAGTGCCTCTGTGCGTGGCCCCTCCCACCAGAGCAGCACAAATGAAGACTTGCCTCTTTCCAAATGCTCTTAAAGGACGATTGTTTTGACTGTTGACCGTGACACCCTCATCAGCAAAATGTCAAACATGAGAAAAGTGGTCGCCGAGTGCAGGATTTTCCAAGAAAAAGTGACTTATTCCTGTTTGCATACAAGTTAATGTTAAAACATTGTGTTGAAATTGCATTTTTCATACTATGGGTTGTTCCATAATATTATAATATTTTGTAAAAGAAAGAGTTCATCAATTAAAAAAGATTTGTAGATCTGTAATAGATTTGCATTTCTCTGCACAAATATTTGAACTTATTGCTATTTTTGGGCTTTATATGCCATGAGTTTTCTGATCTGGCCCCTTTGGGATCAAAGTAGGTTGGATACGGCCCCCGGACCAAAATGAGTTTGACACCCCTGGTCTAGATAATCATTAAAAAGGTTATCGATTACACAAAATTGACTCTTGTGAGCTTTAAGTCATGTTAGAATGTTGTTACCTCCTCAAACATATACCTGGTGGTGTGTTTTGTTTCATTCACATGTTTGTCCTTTAATATCAGTCTGTGTACATCTCCAAAGCTCAAAATGTTCTGTTCCACCTTGTGACACCATGTAGATGATAGTTTTCAAGTTAACAGTTACCTTTTACCTTGAGTTCAGTTGAGGTTTAAAATTAACCAAACAATTCTAGTGAAGGTGTATGGAGTTTAAAAACATCACAAGGTGGAAATTTTTTTCTGTTTGAGAGAAGAACTTAGAGTTTGTGTAATAAATATGTGTGAATGTAACTAAACAAATCTCCAGGTATGTTTGTGATGAGGAAACATTACAACACAGATCAGAAAATAGTGTATTATGACCCCTTAAATGCAAAATGGGGTATAGAAAAAAGCATTGTTCAGGAAGTAAATGGTCACATTTTTCTATAGCGCTTTTCTACCTTCAAGGCACTCAAAGCGCTTTACAACAAGGAACCACTCACCCATTCACACGCACATTCACACACCAGTGTACGCAGACACTGTGGGCAAGGTGGGTTAAGTGTCTTGCCCAAGGACACAACGACAGCATTCATCTGTGGGAGCTGGAATCACAGCAGACAACCTGTGGGTCAATGGATCTGACTGCTCAACCTGTGATGTTTATGTTGAGAGCTGGATTCGAACCGCAAATGCAAATGCTCTACCAACTGAGCTACTGCCGCCCAAGTGCTACCAAAAAACAGGTATTGGTCAAGAACTGGTACCAGGAAAAAAGTAAAAAGAAGTAAAGTTAAACTGCCCTATCTATGGCATGACTGAGCAGAATACCAGACTGAACCATGACTCACTATGGAGCGGAGTCGTTGACCTGGTACTCTCTGGCCCGTGTGAAGCAGCTCTGCACGCCACCATCAGCCCAAAGACGCTTGATGACGTTGGCCAGTTCCTCAGGCATGGACCCCTGCTCCTCTGCTGTGGAGGAGAGAGCAAACAACTGCCGCGCATCGTCCTGGAAACACACAATATACACAGAACATTAGAGACAAAAGGTACAGTGCTATAATCATGACACTTTAAAAAGGCAGTATTACACTGGTATGGGGTATTAACTGCTAACATATTATTTAAATCTACATGTTACTTTTAACTGTTTTCAAAATGCTACATTGGCAGAAAACTCTGTATTACAATGATGTAATAATGTTTCACAATTTTTGTTTTTGATGATCAAGTCTCCACCACCTTCGCTCTCTCTCAAAATCGTTGCACTTTTCACTAATAAAATTACTGCACATCACAGCAGGTTTATGAACTGGTAGTGTATTGTTTTGTATCATCTTCTTGTGTATTTATAGAGAACTGTGGTGTGGGAGCAGAGATGGAAAAGGCTTGTGGGTGGAGCATTGGACAGAGCTGTTCTGCTAACCATAAGGTTTGAATAGGGCCCAGGAGAGATAGTAAAATTACTCAAGCATGTACGGATGACATGCATGTCATCTTTCATTTTTCATAATATCCCCTTAATAAAGCATGAACAAAGACTTAGACTTAATGCATTGCAATTTAGCCTTCTGAAAATACTTTTTACCACTTTATTGTGTTAAGCACGTTAAGTTCTTGGACAGGCAAATTTCTTTTAATTGTTTAATAGAAATAAAATTGACACCAACATATTTGTAGATAATATTATGGTGAGGTTAATATTGTGACTGAAATAGTTTTGATCTGTTACTGCCCTGCCTTGTCTCCTTTTAAGTTGTTTATGAGTAATGTTTCCACTTCCTGTGTGCATTTGACTGTACTTTAACATTCACAAGGACACAGCGGTTTGATGTTAGCGCTCTTCTCAGTATTAGTTAATCATTGTGTGCTCTTCCACTTGAGTGCACCACAGGTCACAACTCCAGCGCATGCATAGGGGCCATTAAACCTGCACTAAGAATGCTCATGTCCACATTCAAAACAATGCTCTACATTTGCATCACTTATGAGTGGCGTTACATTCTTATATTGGTCTGAAAACTTAACTGCAAATAAAATTACAAAGAAAGCAATTTAAACAATGTAATGTCCTCTGCTGAAAACTATATGGCCATAAGGCCTTAAGAGTTTTGGGTCTTTCCCTGTACCTTTGCTGGATTAGAAAATGTACTTTAAATGTCTGTAGTCATGTACAAAACATTACAAAATAAAATGAATTTCTCTTATGAATGAATGAATATCTAATTTCAATATAATTTCATGGTACTATACTGATGCCAATATTGAGAAAATACGGTAATAAAACAACTTTGTTTTATTCGTACTTTTTTAATCATCTCTTTTTACTGCCTTTTTTATAGGTTATATTTCAATATATCTCCCAATTCCAATCTCTCCATCGGGGTTAATGTGCTTGTCTGATGTTCTGAAGTCTGATTCTTGTATTGGTTTAGCATTTCATATTCAGTCTTCTCTCAAATGTTAATGCTACACTTGTCACAATAACTAATGTGTAAATGTGATATATTGTTGAACTAAACGATAATATTGCAACTCATTTGTCAATGATACAGTAACCAAAGAGCAGATTTACACCACAAAAAAATTCTAAATCTACAATATCTACAAATTTACATAAAAAACAAACAAACTAAACAGCAAAAAGAAACACTTTAGAACTCAGTTTGCATCTGTAATGAGTCACAGAAATCAGAAAATAAAATAATTATTGTACTGTATAGAAAAAAAATATACAAAAATTTTCCCATTAGTGCAAAGAAATTGTACACACGATAAATATTGATCAACCAGAAATACTTCTCTAGCTTTTATATTGAACTGTAAGTCGAGTGATTATCGTGACAGGCCTAGGTAGGAATGATCATATTTTTTGTTTTCAATGTTAAAGCCATAGTATGTAACATTTTTGCCACTAACATAAAAGCATATGATTTTTCATTAAGGATGTTTTTATTGCACTGAAAAACTTACAAAAAACCATGTCCTTACTTTTCACGGGCTTGCATCATATAATCTTCCACAGTATGGCATAAAACATATCTCTCTGTGGAGAATGTTCCCAAGTACAGCTTTAATTATTATTTATTTTAACTTTATTTCCATGGAATTGCACTGTTGAATTTCTACTTCTAGAAAGTTACACGATAGCTTTAAATAAATGAATCCCTCTCTTAACTGTGGGAATATACTGTTTTGTTTATGCAATAGTAGTACTTTATTTGCATAGAATTCACTTAGTTGATGCAAATGTCAAAAGTCATGCAACCATCTTGTGACTCAACATCCTCTTTTCTTTAAATCTATTACAGTGTTGTTTTTTCTATGCAGTCTGTGTTTTAGTACATGCTATATTTATTCTATGCCTTGTTGGAGCTACACAAATGGCAGCAGCAGTAGCAGTATAAAATGATTTAAAGTGACAGCGCACTGCATAACATTTGTACTCTGCATAATTTCTCTGGCTCACATGCTCAAGGCGAGATACACTGCTGAGCTGAGAGGAGAGGAACAAGAGGCTTCTGTATTTATTTATGTTACACCATATTTTTATGTATTCTGCTTCACATTTGTGTCCAATACTAGCACTAAACTTCAGATGACAGACTTATTCGCTGGAAGTTGCTTTGGGCACCGCCATTATCATTTGGGTTGTATTATTTTGCATGGAGCTGCGGATCAACAAATAAGTTTTATATGGACTCCAAAGCCGTTTTAAATCCTCCAAAAGAATTGGTGCAGTGTTGACTTGTTGGTGTACATGAATATTTTACACAAATCAACCTAATTTATTTCATATTTTAGCGGCGAAACTTTTCCCAAATTCTCCATTGAAATGAAGTAGCACCACATAGAAAGTGCAGTGTAGTGGCATTTGCATCAAAAGTGGGCTCAAGTCTTATGATGAATATAAATATGATAAGAACCACGCACTTAAAATTGCATTAGACTTCTTCCTGTGACGCAATAATTTGTGGAAAATTGACACAAACACAAATACACTGGATTACACAAACAAGTGAAAATGAAGCTAAATAGAATCCCAGGTATATTCTTTGTTATAATATTCTCATTCTTTAGACCAGGCATGTCCAATCTACGGTAAGTGGACAAATTTTTCTTGGCCCTCAGGCTTCCAGGTGACTTGGCCCAAATTACCTTACAACAATTAAAAACTAACTTTTTACTGTAAGTTTTTTGAAAATCTACTTTGATAAAGTTAATATTGAATATGTAGTGTGTGGTTTTGATGATCTTAGCATGAATAAAGACTGATGGCTCATTCTAATGTGTTAAACATGCATATTTCAATTATTCACTGTACTGAGCACCAGTCTACGGCCCTCAATCAGCCCTCTGCTTGGTTTGTGTTTAGATATGTGGCCCCTGATGAAAAAAGTTTGGACATCCCTGCTTTAGACAATAGAATGAGATTTTCCAGGTAGGTTCCATAGTGTAAACTAGTCTATATGCTCTTATACTTGTTCTGATACAGTTCAAGATCATTCTAAAGCTATTCAGGAAAGGTTCAATTCTGTCCCATGAATGTGACTTTCCCCTGCTCAAATGAGTATCTAGTATCGATTAGTATCTGATAGGGGTGTAACGATATCTAAGTCTCACAATAAGATATCGTCACGGTATGAACCTCAAGTTACTAACCCATGTAGTTTAGAAAATAAAAAATAAAAATCACTTTTCTATCAAATCTAATGTCTAATGCTAATGCCTCAGGCCAGTATATGTTTAAAATGTGTACTACGGAATCTTGATTTTAAAATATTAAGTGTAATACTAATCAAAACTGCAAGACGTGAAGAAAAAAAAACAATCTGTAGTTTTTGGTTCAGCCATAATTTTAATGTGTAAAGCTTTTTTGGACCTGCCTTTTCTGACTTGGTTGGAAGCCATTATAATTAGTAAGAAGACAAGATTTGTTTCTGACTATGATCTTGTGATGGTAAATACAAGTTTGCGGGGAATAGTCATGCATATTCTGTATAAAATAAAATGGCTATATAGCTCTAAACTGTACCAAAAATATAAAAACAGCCTTTTTCCTGGTTTCCGATCATGCTTAAATTCAAAACATAATAAAATATTGTACACACATTTCTAGTACACTGTTATATAATGTTTGTTTTCAGTGTCTTATCTCTGTGAGGAAACCTGTAGATGGAGATGCTCAAATGAGTATCTAGTTTCAATATTAGTGTTAGTATCGATTAGTATCTGATAGAGGTGTAACGATATCCAAGTCTCAAGATACGATATCGTCACGGTATGAACCTCACAGTACGATATTTACTGCGATATCATGTGGAGGCTCACGATTAGGGATGTAACAATATCCAAATCTCTTACGATATTTACGCAATATTTTCAAGATATACATCTCACAGTACGATATTTATTTCGATATTTTGTGGAGGCTAACAAAACTATCAATATGCTACTTTTTCCTCTTAAAATGCCTTGACAAGACTTAATCCAAAGAACGAAGATTTAAAAGTGCTTAGAACTTATTTCTTCATGTAGTCTACACTGAAATGGAGCAAAGGATCATGGTCTATGTAGTTCTGTCTTTTTTTTTAGCTGTTGCTGTACCATACCTCTTAATTTAAGCAAAGAGACTTGCAATTTGATATATTGTGAAGGTCCACGATATTATTGTGAGAACTCTGACGATACTATATCACGATATTTCGATTATTGTTACATCCCTAGTATATGATTTTACTTCTGACAACCTGATAACATTGTCAAAACTTATAAATTTGTCCTTTAAATCTTCTGTCTCTTACATGACGACAGTGGTATTGATACTTTGCAACTGATGCCATCAACAATCATCATTTAGACTTGAATCTGTGCTTTATTTATCAGCAACAATCTGACTATAAAGAACTGACTCAGCTGAAACTGCAACAACAGGTGAGATACCCCCAGCACAATGTCACCGCAAGAATGAATTACAGGAGACGTACCGCTCTGGCCGGATCCTCGTAGCTGATCTTGAGGTGGTCCATGGCTTTGAGGATGGTGACGATGGACTGGATGGTGTTACTGTAGACCACAGCTTTGTACTGTTTGCACTCCTCCTCTGAGTAGCCATCCTCGTGGATAATCCTGCACACAACCACACACACAGAAGACTAATTAGTGCATTTCTTCTAAATATTTCCAAAATTAAAAGGTCCAAAATGTATTCTTGTGAGCTTTAAACCATGTTAGAATGTTGGGTAACACTTTATTTTAGGGTACACTTATTAACATCCAACTACCTGCTAATTAGCATAGTTGTAGATTGTTAATTTGTCTTTAAATTGTATTTATTCAGCCCTTATTAATGTCTACTTCCACATAAGCTTATTCTGCTATTAGTTAGACATTGACAAACACTTTCCTATTAATACACTCCTTATTACTGCTTATTACCATGATACTAGGCCATTTTTGTCCATGAATTATGCTTCTAATAAACTTTTGGTAATAAGTTAATGTTGTTAAGAACTAGTAGCACTAGAAATGCAATTTTGACTTATTTGCACATAAATATAGCTTACTCTTATGTAATAAACCCTCTCTATTGGGTGTTAATAGAGTCTAACTAGCCACGAATTAAGTCATTAAGATCTGAATATGTTCCCCATTCTAAAAGAGATGTTTTGATCGTAGCTAAGAAATGACACACTTAATCCATGTATTATGCTTTTAGGGTTAGTATAATTTATTTCAGTTAAAGCGTTTATATTATACAGCAAATAAATATATTCAAATAAGCATATTCTAATACATTTGACAGAGATAAAGGTGACCTAGACTAGAATATACTTGAAAACTACGTAATTGTTCATATTTTATTTACAACTACCTATTCATATATGAACTATTCATATGCATGTCACGATACATGAATTAAGTGTGAAGAAGAGACCACTTTAGAATAAGGACCAAATTCATTTTAATTTGTGTTAAACTCGTCATTTCTTAGCTATGATCAAATCATCACTTTAGAATGGGGAACACATAAAGAGCTTAAGGGCTTAATTTATGGCTACTTAGACTCTATTAACACCTAATAGAGAGTGGTTTATTACACAAGAGTAAGCGAAATTTATTAAGTGCAAATAAGTCAAAACTACATTTCTTGTGCTACTAGTCCTTAACAACACACTTATTACCAAAAGCTTATTAGAGTCATAATTCATGGACAAAAATTGCCTAGTATCATAGTAATAAGCAGTAATAAGTAGGGTATTAACAGAAAAGTGTTTGTAAATGTCTAACTAATAGCAGAATAAACTTATGGGGAATTAAACATTAATAAGGGCTGAATAAATACTAATTAATGACAAAATAGCCTTCTACAACTATGCTAATTAGCAGGTAGTTAGATGTTAATAAGTGTACCCTAAAATAAAGTGTTACCAAATGTTGTTACCGAACCAAAACATACCTGGAGCTGAGTTTTGTTTCGTACACACATTTTTGGAGTAATCTTTTATTTTAAGTCTGTCTATATCTCCAAAGCTCAAATTTTCTGTTCAACCATGTGATGTCAAGCAGAAGTTTCAATTTAACAGCTCCCTTTACCTTTAGTGGAGTAAAGTTTGGCAATTCCAGCTGAAATCATCCAAATGATTCTAATGAAGGTGTACCACATGACATCACAAGGTGGAACAGAGTGTTTTCTGTTCTCAGTCTAAACAAGCAGGATTTTTGTGTTAAAGATTTGTGATGGAAACAAAACAACTCCTGGTATGTTTGTGATGAGGAAACATTAGAACATAGATTATAAAATGGTGTAATATGGGACCTTTAATGTTAAAATTTATCAAGTCCCTGCTACAAATTCAGATATATCACTGTCACAAACTTCTCATTCTCTCCTCACAACAAAAACGGCAACAACAAGTTTCAGAGAGATGAAAACTGAATACTGCAGCAATTAAGAACTGAGAAGAAAATGTCTTTTGAAAGGGCAAAAACAACAAAATATAATGACTAAGAGATTGATTGTTTAATTTTTTGGGGTGATTTATTTATCTGATGATTGCTTGTCGTGTGTATGAAAGCAGCTGGCCGCCATCACATTTCCTCTGGGATTAATACAGTATATATACACCTTTATCTAAGTCTATATCTGGGTGGGTTTTCTCTGTACATCACAGTATTCCAGTGATATTTAGATATTATAGAAAATCAATCAGAAATGTGCAGCGTGCCTGTAAATGGTGTGGCTTAGGTTTAAAACTGAAAAATACATCAACTGTAAAGTAAACTACAAAAATGAAGAAATATCACTTTATGCAATATCTAAAAAAAACAAAACAAAAAACAGGAATTTTTTTAGTGTTGTCAAAATGTGAAAAACAGAAGCAATCATTTTTAACTGTTCAGTCGTCAAAATGTTTCCTCACCTTCCTAGCTCATTCCGAGCACTTGGGCGTAACAACACAACTAAAAACAACTACCTTGGTAACTGTAAAATAGTTACTTCCTCGTTTGCAGCTGATAAGTTGTTTTGGGTTTTTTTTTAGGTGCAAACAGAGAGCACATTTGAATTCACGATGGGAACTGCTTTTACATTATTTCTGTAATGGGGATTTTTCTTTTTCTAAACTGCATGGACAAAAATCTGTTGCAGACACTTGAAATATCTGTCCGTCTCTGACATGTAAAAATCAAATAACTACAATAATCAGATAACTCACCAAGATGTGATTTTGGTGGGTGTTTACATGCACAAAGAAAATCTAATTAGAAAAAATACCTGGTGATTAACTTTCATTCTTGCTTTTAATTGCTTTGCTCTTTTTTTGCACAATTTTCCCACATAGGCATTAACAGTCACAAAGAAATGAGATTACCCACATCAGATGTAAGTGACAATGTTTACATGCATAGCAAAATCTGATTATTATTTGATTTCTAGAGCTTAAAAGATTGCTTAAAAGATACCAAAAAAGCAAAATGAAATATGATGATTTTGCAGTTTACAGTCTTATGACAAAAAAAAAAAAAAAAAAAAAAAAGAAAATCAGATAATAAATTGATTTGGAGTGTGCATATAACCGCAGCCACAGTTTAAAGCATATTTTAATAATCTGATAACTTCAGAAATCAGATGATAAAAAATTTGGTGTGAATATCAGTATGGCCCTTTTAACTTTTAAAGGTCTTACATTACACAAAATTGATTATTATGAACTTCACATATCTTTGAGTAATCCTGTTTTATTGATCTGTCTACATTTCCAAAGCTCAAAATGCTCTGTTCCACTTTGTGATGTCATGAAGCTGTGGTTTTCAAGTTAACAGCTCTTTTTACCTTTTGTTCAGCAAAGATTGGCAGTGCCAGGGATGAAATTATCTAAATGATTCTAGTGAGTGTGAATGGAATTTAAAAACACAGTGAAGTACCTCCTGTATCAGCACATGACATCTCAAGGTGAAAGAGAGAGTTGTCAGTGTGAGAGAAGAACTCAGCCTAAATATGCAGGATTTGTGTGTTACAAATGTGTGAATGAAACAAAACACAACTCTAGGTATTAGAGATGTAACGATATCCAAATTACGATATTATTACGACATGCATTTCACGGTACGATATTTACTGCGATATTTTGGAGTGGCAAATACAATTCTAGATAAGGTATTTTGACAGCAAAAAAGTGCCCTAACAAGATTTTGGTGCAACTTATTACTGTCAGGATCTCAAGAATTCAATTAAAAAACATGTCTTCATATTGTCTGTGCTGAAATGAATCATGGGACACGTAGTTCCCTATGCTTATTAGTTGTTCCTACTAAAGAACAATGCATTTAAGCAAAGGAACTTAAAAGTCAGTAAATTGTGACAGCTCTCAATATTGTCATGAGACTTCTGATGATACGATATCACAATATTTCAGTTATTGTTACATCCCTACCAGGTATGTTTGTAATGAAAAAACATAACACAGATCAGAAAACAGAGTAATTTGGGCCCTTTAATTTACACCAACTTATTGCACCAGCGTTGACTCAAAAGTTTGAACAGTCTAAATTAAACAAAGTCTGTTCTGATATTCCATTTCATCATCCCCATTACATCACACGTCCTTTTACAGTAAGTTTGTGAATAACTGGGTCAAGGAGTTTTGTAACACGGCGCACAATGACGCTGGCACAAAGACAGCAGATGAATGGGACTTGGATTGAGATGGATGCTGCTGGTTTGCTTTGGGGGGTGTCTCTTTGCCCCCCTCATGGCTCAGTCTGGGGCCACACACACAGGACGTCCCATTGGCTGAGGCCTGGGTGAGGTTTTCAAAAGGACCTCATCAACATTCAGCACAGCGCACCGGCACACTGCACACCCAAAGACACAAGGTTTGAATGGGCTTTTCACCACTCAGGACGAGATGTGGACATATACTGTTACGAGTTAGAATTACGGATAAAACAACTATTAGTTTAGTGTAAAAATGTTCATTATGTTCAATAACAAACCCGAAATAAATTGACTATTCATGGGTTCCAGGGAAATCCTTGGGTATTTGAAGGTTTTTGAGAGGACCAACTCATTCAAAAAGATAATATTAAGATTTGAATGGCTTCATTACTAAGGTGATTGAGGACACACTGAGGATATGCAAGTGCTTTACCTGAATGTTCCACAGTATGGCTTTAAACATATCTCCAAGCAAGGGAATTTAGGCTTTATTTGGGTATACAACAAGTAGCAGTAATAATCCCAGTAGTATAGTAGTATAGTAGAAGCAATAGTTCTATCTTTAGATTGTATTAGCAGTATTAGATAAACTGCGCAATTAAAGCAACACTGCGTAACCTTCTGGAGGTGGCCTGTTGCCTGCTTAATTCCATAAAAATGTAAAGTTAAAACTATACTTTGGAACATTCTCTGTGGAAAAAGACCCCATTTATACTGAAACAAATCCGCGCATCACCATATCGGAAACGATTTGCATCCACAAATGTCGTTTCTGTGTCCGTAATCCTTCCTTATCCACACAGCTTTGAGCTTTATGTTTTACAGAAACAAAACTGAAAACTGTATGGCTAATTTGCATAAACTAAGCTCAAAACAGTTCGCTATTGTGCGCTGATGTAGTTCAGCTTCGGTCGGACTAAAGGACATGACTCGGTGGATTATATGTGTTCTTTCTGTGACAGAGGGATGTTCTGCTGATGGGGAGTTTGTTCTGTGCTTCTGTCGCATTGGAGACGGTTCATGTTAAACTTTTCAGAGATTATCCGTCTGCAGATCATAGCATAGACTGTATATATGAATATATGCTAGCCTTTTAGTGTTTTGGCGGTGAATTAGCTACTTCGGTGCATAGACCTACATCAGTGTATCAGCGTTTTCAGGCATCCACACGGCGCCAAATCAGATCCGTACTGAGATGAATTTGTGGGAGTTGGCGGCACCAGATCATTCCATCTCTGGAGCCTTTTCCATCGGATTAGTGTGGATGAACACTGCATCCACAACGAAAACAACTCGAATACGTATTAGTGTGGACGGGGCCAAAGATACATGTTATGCCAGAATGTGGAGCCAAAGGAATAACAAGCAGGAGGCAGCACTTCTCCAAGCCACGTCAGGTTTGTGGAGAAGCAAGCTCCCTCACAGTTTGGACACAAGTTTTATTAGTGCAATAAATAAATCTAAAATTAAAACGCCAAACATGTTTTTAGTCTTTTTTTGTTAATAGGCCCTTTTCCTGAACATTCAAATACATTCCTATAATTTCAGTAAGTAAGTAGCTACTAATATCTTCTAAACCAAAAATATTATAGGAGTTGGTCGTTAGGTCCCCTATAGGAACAAATGCACTCAACTGCATAAAAAATAAATAATGACAAAACATGAAAAGTGAAGGAGTGATATAAACATTGTTAAATTATGAGAACACTTAAATGATTTAGGGACATCCCCATCGTCTCAGCCTTTGGTCTGTATATATGAAACACATCCTGTTCCTGCTCCTGCCCCATAGACATGTATTATTGAACAAAACAATGGATGCACTTACTTCATCTGCTTCACAATGGTGCTCTTGCCCGACTCTCCAGCACCTGCAGGACAGAGGAAAAACAGGCAGAGGTTAAAAATATGCTCTTGTAGTTATAATGTCAACACACTGCCAGACTGAGCACATCTGGACTTCTGTTACTCTTTAACCTGACACACGGCTGTGAAACATCAACTTTCACCAAAACTTTGACACATAGTTTCATTTGAGGTGTTGGACTGGTAAAATGGGCCAGAAGAAAAGGAGGATTTTAAACGAGAGGAAAAGGAAACCGAAAAGAATTAGATTAGAATTGGTAGATAGTCAGAAAGTGATTCATGTGTGACTAGCATCAGTGCAATCCTAAAGCAGGCCAAGCAAAGTCATCAAGTTGTGAAATATTGTTTTTTTGACTTCTTATGAAACATAATAAATCAGCAAAACCATGTTGACAAGCTGTAATGTTGCATAATAAGATTGAAATAATGCATCATGTACCATACACTCTGGGCTCTTTTCAAGTAACTTTACATTGAATTTTAATATTCACATCACTCCACACAATCAGAGGTGATAAGGCAGATTCATAGCCTTAACTGCCCTGTGGCTATCTGGGAGATAAATGGCTGCAAACCTGCTGAAATGGCCACTCTGACCAGCAGCAGCCTCTTTCACACCAGTTATATTTCCAAAAAGTAAATTATTAGTCATACTCATGTCTTTCTTCTCTGCACTTTATAGTTAAAAGAAGAATTAGAGTAGAATTTTTATGGATTCTTTTAACATAGTGCATAAAAAATAACTGCTATCATTATTACATTAATGACTTCCTTTTGTAGAATTGAAACTATCAATTATTTTTAGGGATGCACCGATCTAACTTTTTCACCAGTTCTGATACTATAGACTTAAAGTTGAACTCTGTAACTTTTTGGTTTGGGGTCTGTGATCTGCTTGTTTCTATGGATGTCATTGCTCTGCCTGGAATATTCCACAATATGACATTAAACAGCTCGACCTTACATTTATTCAATTACAAGTGGTTTTATAGCTCAAAAATACATACAAAAACAGACATTCTGACTGTGAGTGAGGTCTCCTCTCCACAGATCTGACCTGTAACTTGGTCTGGTTTGGTCTCCATGATGATAGAAAGGTTTAACACCATACCGTGAAAATTTTTTTTTTTTTATGTATTTATTTTGGGATGGAACATATAACATAAGTAAAATCATAATAGAAATGAAAATAACCACACACAAAAAATGCCAAAAAAGGAGTGGAAAGACTTATTTAATCCCACCCCCACTCATCTAATCTAACACAATGAGCTGTCTTTTACATTTTTCAACATTCCAGACAAAGCAATAACATCTCCATGAAGAAAAACATTTGGCGGACCCTCCACCAGAAAAGTTACACAGTGCACCTTTAAGTATCTGCTAATGCCTGATAACAGATACCAATGCAGGGAGTAATAATAACATTTTTTCCCCTTAAAACTAAAATAAGACTAAGCCAATCCAAATATGTTATGTCAATATACTGTTCTTGTATTTTGTTGGTATAGTGGTTGGTGTGGTGAGGCTTATTTGTAGTTTTTGTATTATATAATTCCAAAATATTTTAATAGGCTTGCAGGTCCAGAGTGCATAAAGTAAATGTCAGTGACTCCCATGGTGCAATGTTTGTGTCCGTTAGCCCCATTTTGTACTGTACTCCTGGGAACATTTTAATGCTACAGTCCAGTGCTGCCTTTTTATGTGTGTATATCCGAAGATCCATAGGAAAACACACACTAGGCCTCATCTGCAACAAGGAATCCAACCCTCCACTCCTCTGCCTCTTCACCCCTGCTCTCCTCCGCCCCCCCATTCCGACCCCGGCCCAGTGAAGCCTGTCAGAGAGCTCAGGCCTGGGGTTATGTCTCCCCCAAAATACACTGCACACAGCGTGGAGCAGCCCTGGGTAACAACCAGAGGAGCGAGCTTCTATGGACAGCTGTCAACTCCAACTATATATATGTATGTCTATGAGAGCCGAAGGGGGTCTGCGGACTACAATAGTGAATGGAAAAACAGAACTGAAAATAGCTGGAGAGGTATTAAAATCAGACTGCAAGAGTTAATGGATGAGAATTGCAATATGAATGGAGGTAATAAGCAAAATATAAAGGCTGTAATTCTTTAGGAAATATAATGCCTTCAAATCAAACTAAATATTCGGTGTTATAAAGATGCAACAAAATCTCTCTGTACAATATTTTCAGGATATGCATCTCATGGTAAAATATTTATTGCGATATTTTGTGTCATAATACAAATTAAACAGTTATATTGTTTTGTAGTCTGCACTGAAAAAGAGCAAAGGATCATGGTCTGTGTAGTTCTGTTCTGCTCCATGTATTTTTTCGATGTATTTCCATGTTTTTTGTTTGTTTTGCTTTTTTTTTTTTAAGATAATGCTGCATCATAACAATGAATTTATGCAAAGAGACTTGTAATATGATAAATTGTGACAGCCCACGATACTACTGATAGACTTTTGAATCCAAATCCACTTTATTAATATAGCACATTCTACAAAAAAGCAGTTTCCAAAATGCTGCACAGAGCTCATAAAATTAAGACATCAAAAGGTAAATTTTGGCGTATGATATTACAATATTTCAGTTTTTGTTTACATCCCTACAGTTTACAGTTTAATAACTTGGAAACTGCTAACCCATGTAGTTTAGAAATAAAATTTAGTTTTCTATCAAATCTAATGTCTAATGTTAACTATCCAGGCCAGTATATGTTTAAATTATGTTTACGAAATCTTGATTAGTATTACAATTAATATTTTACAATCAAAAGTGCAAGACGTGAAGAAAAAAAGAAATCTGTAGTTTTTGGTTCAGCCATAATTTTGATGTGTAAAGCTTTTTTGGACCTGCCTTTTCTGACTTGGTTGGAAGCCATTATAATTAGTAAGAAGACAAGATTTGTTTCTTTACTGACTATGATCTTGCGATGGTAAAAAATACAGGTTTGGGGGGAATAGTCATGCATTTTCTGTATAAAGTAAAATGGCTATATATCTCTAAACTGTACCAAAAATACAAAAACAGCCTTTTTCCTAGTTTCCGATCATGTTTAAATTCAAAACATAATAAAATGTTGTACACGTGCTTCAAATACACTGTTATATAATGTTTGTTTTCAGTGGCTTATCTCTGTGAGGAAACCTGTAGATGAAGGTTTAGGCGCAGTATCACAGGAAAACAGTGGGGGGCAGTGGACTCAGTATCAAAGACCAGATAACAACAGGAAGTTTATAATACGGCTTTATGGATGTCCTTAGGGAACTTATATTGTCCGCAGTTATTACCTCCATATGCTACTTAGAACAGCCCTGGGAGCATAAATGTTTGTTTGTAATAGTCAATCTGTTCCCATATCAACATGGTTTATTGATAATACATGAATAAAATTGTCCAAATGAGGCGTTTGTATTGGTTATTCATATAACTGTGACCCAAATAAGCCCTCCAAGCCTGACAACATAAACAACAAATAAGGGCATATGTAACACAAAATTGAATCTTGTGGGTTTTAAGCCGTGTTATAATGTTGTTAACTCTTCAAAAACACGCCTGGAGTTGTGTTTCGTTTCATTCACACATGTTTGAGTACTGGTGTGGTATAGGATTTTGACCCCGGGGTCAGAATCCTATTATTGTATGTTGACCCCCCTATAGAATATTGACATGAAAATCTGTATTTTTTAATAAAGAACTTGAATTCTAAAAAATTCAAGTTAAAACTTCTTTTAAAAAAAACTTTTAATATTAATACTATATATGCAAATTAAAACATACAAACATAGTGTTTTTTGATGCATTTTTTATGTTGATTATAACTTTTAAATGATAAAAATTTCTTAGTTGTTTAAACACATATTTGACTGAAAATGAGATAAGTAGTTATTAATTAGTTAGGTCATCAAAGTGATGTATGATGATTTGGAATCTTGTTAAAATAGACAGGGCTGATCAATTGAGTAGTTAAATAGGGGATATGACAAGATTTGCTAAAGATCAATAGAGTAGTTAAATAGATGATAGGAGAAGATTTGTTAAACGGTTTCTGTAATCAATAACTTCAGTTAAAATTACATGTGGATTATCTGAACATAGTAAACTAAAAACCATAACAATGTAAATAAAACACAATATAAAAAGTGACAAGATTGCTATATATATGCAATTTTAACAATATGTTACATTTACACAAAATACCAAGTCGTTCTCCATCAAAACATTCCTTAAAATACCTTAAAAGAAAGTGAATATGTAGCAATATATAATAAACGTAAATTACATAACAAATAATGATCATATAAGTAACTACTAAAGAAAAAAGTAAGGGGAGTCAAAATCCTATAGGGGGGTCACTTTACTATAGTTTTATGTTGACCCCGGCCTCAATATACTATGGGGGGTCAAAATAATCCTTTATTATTAGCCAGTCTACATCTCCAAAGCTCAAAATACTCTGTTCCACCTTGTGATGTCATGTAGTTGTAGTTTTCAAGTTTACATGTACCTTCTTCATTTAGAAGTGTAGAAGAGATGAACAATTCTAAAGCTGAAATTATCCAAATGGTTCTAGTGAAGGTGGAGTTTTAAAAGACAGTGGGGCACTTCTGGTATTACCACATGACATCACAAGGTGTAGCTGAGGGTTTTCAGTTTGAGAGAAGTACAAGTAGAAGTCTAAATACGCAGGGTTTGTTTGTGAATGAAACAAAACTCCAGTTAAGTTTGTGATGAGCAAACAACATTCTAACATAGATCAGAAAACAGTATAATATGGGCCTGTAAAAAAATTTGCTGTGACAAAAATAAGAGAATTTTGATAGAGTATTAAACTTTTTGATTAAATAAAATGAAAAAAGGAAAAATTTAATGTTTACCTTATAGTTAAACCTCAGTGTGTAACATTTCAGCCATTTCGTTAATATAGTTGGGTAGACGTTTTTCAGGGTAATAATAATCATGAACTATACACTTTTATTTCA